AAAACATTTGCATTTCGATGGCGCTCACCTCTTCCACTTTTTTTAGGCTTGTCGAAAATCACCAAAAGAATTGACACATGTGTAGTAGTCTACATGTTTGTTGAACTAATAATTTTTTATAAAATAATTCTGACGGATATTGCATGTCCCGATATAAGCCAGGTCGGTTCTGTACAAGTTTAAATCAGCCTTTTCGACCCCTGCTGCTTTGTATTTTTGTATTTTGAAACTTTCTGCATGCATGATTTTTTACTATTACTATAAATTTCGAAAATTATTTTCATGCACTAGGAGCACTAGTGCTTGAGTGCCAAAAGGCTGCTTTAACATTTTTTTAAAATGTTTAGATGGAAAATATATATTTTAATACTACTAATACATTTTCTTTTTGGGTTGAATACTGCATTTCTATGGGCCTGTACCCCCACCCACTCATCAATTCCCTCTCAACCCCTCAACTCCACACACGGGCACATAGGCGGCCGGAGCCATAAATAAATAGACACCGGCCACGAGCTCCCCATCTCCACCACCAGTCCACCACCACCTGAGCTACAGCCACCCAACATCTTCTTCTCCGGCAGGCAGGGCAGCGGAAAGGAGGAGAGCCGCCATTGGCGAAGCTTGGGAAAGCATGGCGAGACAAGCCCTGACGAACGGGTTCCTCAGCGGCTTCATGCACGTGGGGCTGGCGCTGGTGCTCCTCGCCTACCTCCCCGTCGCCTTCCTCTGCCGCCTCGTCTACAGGCTGCTGATTAGGCCCTTCGCCGCCGGCGAGGACCTCCGCGGCAAGGTCGTGCTCATCACCGGCGCCTCCTCCGGCATCGGCGAGGTCAGTAAAGCCTGCCTCCCCCTAGGCTCTTGTACGTAGTACTCCTACAGTCGTTCTCGAATTCCCGTTGCGCAGGTCATTCATGGCTTGGGTTCCACCCATGCAGTAAGATCTAAACCCATCCGTCAGTGTTTGACCATTCCCTGCATGTGCGTGCATGCGTACATATGTACGCGGTACATATGTCATATGTACGTGTTGGTTTGTACTCGCCACCCTTTTACAGTTTGGCTGCTGCAACTATCTCGACCGAAAATTATAGGTTAATTGTTTCTGTTCCATACTTCCATTGCTGGCACACCCCTTGTCAAATTATTGGTGGTTCAGATTAATTGGAGTTTTTTTTTAAGTTTGCGGGTAGTTTTTTTTTCTAAAATTTTGAAGTCTGGTTCTCTTTCGCGTTGGTTTGCTTATTTGTTCTGTAATAGGTACCACGTGAGAGTGATTTGACGATGATAGCTCGTAGAGACTTTGTTCTGGCCCTTTGGGACCCCATTTAGATTTCATGTACACTTAGAGGAACGCTGGTTAGCAGCAGGCATGATCACCGATTTATTTTTATCATTCTGAAAATGTTGTTCGAACATCTCTCTTATGGAACGTTGTGCCGTAGCGAAAATAGCGTTTCTCTGTGGCGGTCTGGCCCACGGTTTCCATAATCCACTACCACGTGTGAACATCTTCTCCAGCGGCTTTCCTCTTTTCGGATAGCGACATTCAAAACCCGAATATTTTAGCAAACATTAAATTGCACGCCATATTAGTAGTAAAACACAAACTGAATAAAAAACCACTCATAGGATAGATAAACAAAGAAGAATTGTTATACGTGCGCAGAAGCTGCAGGAAGAATATAAGGAGAGGGGAATGATACAGGAACAACAAACGGGTGATAGGAGTATATATATACCACCTTGAAGGCTTGAAAGCTTCCGGTAGCTTGCGTAGTACCAGGAGTACAGTACCAAGATAGTACTAGTATCAATTGCTGATGCAGTGAGTAATTCCCTGGCCGGGCAGGGCAGCGCAGTAGTATTGAATTCTCACCGTCCACCCCATAAATCCTGGAGCATGGGCACCAGTCCTGCCCGTCGCATCAGAGGGTGCTTGGATACAAGGGACTATTTTAGTCTGACTAAAAATAGTCTTTTTTAGAGGCTAAAGTTCCAAGCACCCCTGACTAAAGAGAGACTAGGACTAGTCTTGAGGCTAAAATCTTTTAGTCATGGGAAACCTACTAAAATATGTATTAGTTCTCTCTCTCCTCATTTAATTCCTCTCCTTAGTTCTGGATTGGAGGGTTTGGAGGATAATAAATGCTCAATAACTAGATTTTAGTCTCTTTAGTATTTGGATCCAAGCATGGGTGAGACTAGCAAGTTTTAGTCCCACTACTTTTAGTCATGGGACTAAAACGTATCCAAGCATGCTCTCGTGCCGCTGCATGTGGCTCTGCAGTCACCGGCCGGAGTAAATATAAAGGAGAGCCTCACTCAATTATAAGGCGGTGGTCATGAATGAATTCTTTACAAATTTTGGTTTGTGATTTGGATGCGCAGCACCTGGCTTACGAGTACGCGAGGAAAGGCGCGTGCGTGGCGCTGGTGGCCCGGACGGAGATCGCGCTGCGCGCCGTGGCCAAGACGGCGCGGGAGCTGGGCGCGCCGGACACGCTGGTGGTGCCGGCGGACATCACCAACGTGGAGGAGGCCAAGCGGGCCGTCGAGGAGACCCTCGCCCACTTCGGCAAATGTAAGTACTACTCCACGATCAGCCCGGCCTGTTAATCTCAGCGTACGGCACCTGACAGCAAGCTCTCAGATAACGACGGAGTACGAATATATATACATGCATTACTATGGTTATTATTATACTATTATTATTGGGAGTGCCTAGAATTCATCTAGATGAGATATACACGCACATCTTATAGCATCACTTTCAATGGCCATAAAGGTGAATGAGACATAACTAGAACTCAGTTAAATGAGTTCTAGCAAAACCAATTATTATTAGTTAAAGCAAATCACTTTCCAGAGCAGTGATGCATGTGAGGTTGTCCATGTCCAGTCCGGCTGATAGGAATGTACCCCAGCTACTTACGGTTGTTTGCACCGATCAGGTGTTGAGTGAGTGAGTGCGTGGTCGTAGTCGGTTCAGCTTGCTAATTCATGTCCGTCCGTCCGAGTACTTTACTTACTAAGATGAACGAACCGCACGGAGCATATATAATGGCTAGCAAAAAATGGCACTACTCCAGTGAGTTTCACTTCAGCTGCTAATAGTTCCTGCCTCGCTGGATTCTGCATGCATGCAGTGAATCACCTGGTGGCTAACGCGGGCGTGTGGTCCAGCTGCTTCTTCGAGGAGATCACCAACGTATCCGCCTTCCAGAACGTCATGGTAAGCAACCACCCCATTCACTTGAGAAACAAACAACACAAAATCCACGGTTAATTTCCTCATTAGCTACCTTGTAAACAAGTTTATTTATACCAAGTAATCATGTTCTTAATTTCTCCACCATACGTACCACGTACGTGTACGCAGGATCTCAACTTCTGGGGCGCGGTGTACCCGACCTACTTCGCGCTGCCCTACCTGAAGGCCAGCCGCGGCAACATCGTGGTCACCGCCTCCGTGGCCGGCAGGGTCCCGGTGGCGCGGATGAGCTTCTACAACGTACGTAAACGCAACGTAACCCCAGATTTGAATTGAATTACCGCAATAAATTCGGGATCGGCAGCTCACCGAACATCTCTTTATCGATCGCTGCGTACGTGTCACATGAGAAGGAATTAACGCTCCGGTCGGTGGATGGATGTACTCCATTGCATTGCAGGCGAGCAAGGCCGCGGTGATCCGGTTCTACGAGACGCTGCGGGCGGAGCTGGGCCCGCACGTCCGCGTCACCATCCTCATGCCGGGCTACGTCGTCTCCAACCTCACCATGGGCAAGGGCGTCCAGAAGGACGGCAACGTCGGCTTCGACGAGGAGGCCCGCGACGTACGCACACACCCCAACCATTACATTCATAGCATGATCGATAGGTTAGCTTATTATTGATGATGGATGGGCCGGCCGGTGACGGGATTGCAGATAAACGTGGGGCCGCTGCCGGTGGGGAAGACGGAGACGCTGGCGGAGGTGGTGGTGGCGAGCGTGCGGCGGGGCGACAGCTACGTGACGTGGCCCGGGTGGTACTGGCCGTTCCACATGGTGATGTGCGCCGCGCCGGAGCTCGTCGACTGGTTCTCCAGGGCCTTCTACGTCTCCAAGTCAAGCGACAAGGACGGCGACACGCTCAGCAAGAAGATCCTCATGGCCGTCGGCGGCAACAAGTTCTACCCCAAGAACATCCGCTCCTCCCAGCCCCAATAAGCCATCACCCGAATCCCGATCGACACTAAGCCAGCCATGCATGCGCGCATGCACCAAATGTATGCTTGGTTGGCTTGGCACCAAAGTATAGCAGTGGCCAGTGGTGTGCATGCATAGCACTCTCGTTTTTTCTTCTTTTTTCTTTCTTTCAGTGTGATGTGATCGTGATGTGAGTCCATACGATGTGAGATCTGTTGTATTGGTGGTACACAACACATGCGGTGTTGCAAAGAGGGGTGCTCCTCTAAATGACCGTCTGTTGTTGCTTATACTGACGAAAAAGCATGAGAGAGACAGGTTGTTCGTGGATGACTGCTTCTCCCGGTCACCATAATTTGTGTCTATACAATGGTACGTACCGGCGATGGCCAACTCGGTAGCTTTACTGTGCTGACATGCCTTCCCAAGTCCCTTGAGAAACCTGGTTCTCACAAGCATTAATTAATATCAAGGCATATGTCATGAAAAAAGAATGGGCGTTTTCCTTCAAAAAAGTAAAGAATTGACATCAGGACTACGGCAAAAATATGGTTCAGAATCTTGTCACTGGAGTCTGGGCATGCCCTACGTGTCAACGCAAGTAGCTTCCTCTATGCTTGTATATATAGTTCTATACACGCTGATGAAATGTCATATGGTGTCCACTCTACAGATTATAACCTTCCTTACAAAATTGCAAGAGAGAGAAAGGGTGCTACATTATTCTCTCCGGGTATATATATACTCGCCAAGATCGTTTGCTATATGCATTCAGTCGGGGGAAGAACACGCTCAGACCCCCCGGGATCACACTATGGAGTAAGCACTGCTGGACTCGTTGTCAGGCTCTACTGCTCGTCTTGGTTTCTGCTCCTCTGCCACCTTGCGGGGTGACGCCTTGGGTGACGGCGGCGAGGAGTGTGACGGGGACGATACCGATCTGCGCACCGGGCTCGGCGGCGTGTGTAGCCTCCGCAGCTCGCTCATCGAGCTTTTGGGGCTCAGGAGTAGCGGGGGTGGCGGTTGCTGTGCCTCCGGAGCTTCTGCTGCCGGAGGGCGGTGCTGCTGCCCTTGTTGTTGCGGCGGCTGCTGATCAGTTGCGACTTTGTTTAGAAGATTCTGCAGAGTGGGTAGTAGTTTTGCTGAAACAGATAGGATCCCGGGAACCTGCAGAGTAACATCAATTTAATCTATGTGTTCATGAAGATGAAGAGGATTCAGTTCAATTTGTCACAAGCTTATTTCAGAATAAACAGAGTTAAAGCTAACCAATAGGTCTCTTCTGTCCTCCTAAAATGGGCTATTCAATGTTAGGAACAACTGATTTTAGGAGCATAGAAACCCATGCCTCGTAATTTTTACTTGTTCTATAAAGTACTCTAGCTCAATAGACAATGCAATTTTCTGGTCTCTAAACTCGTGCTTCCTCCACAATATGTTGCTTTCTGATGAAACATAACCAGTCATCAAAAGATGTATAGTGAGTACGAAATTAATAGACATTCTGTGCATTTTTTCAACACACCTTCTGCACAGATGATTTCACGATAGCATTGTACAACAAGAAAAATACTACTACTACATTCCATTTTAACAAATGTTCAACATCTTACCATTCCATTTTGGAATTCTCTGCCAATATCTAGCTGCACTGCTAAAGCTCTGACAAGTAAATAACCCACAAATAGCAAGAACATGTATATGGGATTCCTGCACAGCAGAACAAGAATGACAGCACCATGTTAATAGTTTTTAGTTTGTGTAAGAAACCCCTGCACATACTATTGAGTTAAGTACCTCAGAAGCATCATGATCTCATCAAAACCAAGAACCGCCATAGCAACCAGCGCCCAAGGAGGAGGCAGTCTGCCATTACTGCGCCTGTGAGCTTGCTGGAGTGAGATAAAAAAAAGTTCAAGTCAAAGACAATACAATTGGAATCTATTTCACCCGCTAGAAAATATAAGGCATCATCAGAAAATAAAAATCGAATCCAGCCTGACAATCATAAATGATCCAGTTTATGGAGGGGGAGCAATAATTCCTTCAAACAGAAGGATTCTCTAATGCAACTATAGAGGTACTCTAAAGCTCTTCTAAATGCAAAGGCATCACACCTGCCATAGTTCCTCAAAAGAGTTATTCTACAGAAATAAATAATTGGCTAGCACAGTATCTCTGAATATTAAATACACTACAAGAGACCAAAACTATGTATTAAATAAATTCAAACCTGCGTTGATACTGCTTGTGTAATGGTGAACTCAGTTTCTGATTGGAACTGCTTCCACACTGACTTGCACTGAGCTGGAGTAATAAGCGTATGCTTTGGATGAACCTGTTTCAGTTGTTTGGTAAAGTGATGGATTCTCGGTATAAGCAATTCCACTTTTTGCTGCATGAATAACAAATAAACACTAAACTACCTCTTCCCAGCTAGTTGAAGCAAGCGGGTCACCGGAAGAAGCACTTGAACTCTTTGACGCAACAGAACCATCTAGAAGTGTGGAAATCAGAATGTTTTCAATCCTATCTGGCTTGTCATCCCAGCGAATGACGGCTAATACAGACAGAAGTTTGAGAGCCTGCAATGTAAGTGTAACAGCACTTAACAATAAAACAAAGGGATATATTGTTTGTCATCATGTTAGAAAGGCGAGAATCCTGTACAGCAGATCGAGCCTCCTTTGCTATTGCACGAACATCTTCCTTTCCTGTCCAGGTCCTTGGCATTGAGTCCTTGTCATGACTAAACACCACTGTGAACCTGGCAATAACAAGGAACTTTATCAGAAGGTTATAATATTGATTGGTACATGGAACAAGCAATAAGTATTTCTGTACCTTTCCTTCATATGCATCAAAATTTTGCTAGCTTCTTCTTTAGCCTTATTTTCCACAATGCTTTGACCATAATCCCTTAATTTTGACACCATTTCTTCTGAGAATTCGCTTCCCATTTCAAACCCAGAAAGGGCTTTAAAAACCTCTGGCAGGATGGCCTGTGTCTCACGTTTATAGAGGCTTTCTATTGATGACCAAGTTGTTTGGCCGGCGGCATCAAAAAGAGATTCCACAGGTTCAACAAGTGCTTTTCTTAGTTTCTCCTGAAAGTATACATAACTTAAATTATGACCACGAGGTAACCAAATGATATAGCAAGTGCCAAAAATATGCAGAAGCGAAGTATGTGCAGAGAAACTAATAAAAAAAAACCTTCTCTAGGTTTCCATACTTAACCTTAGCATGATTTGTTAGTTCTGTTAGCTTGCTTTCACGAACTGAAAGTGCATGGTCTTCAATATCACGCCGAACTTTCTCTAGGATTTTAGAGTAGTCCCAATCCGCCTGCTTGATTACAGAATCTAGAATATGAAGACTTGTCAGATTGCAGTTTCGGTATGAAGGGGCTGGTATTCCAAAGAAACAGACAAAATTGCCTTCCCAAATTGCATATCTTACAGGCACATGAAGTAGATAGGACAGACCCGGTGCATAAAAGCTCCCACACAAGGTGGGGTCTGGGGAGGGATTATAGGAACCTAGTCTTACCCCTGCAAAGTGCAATGCAGAGAGGCTGGTTCGAACCCAGGACCTCTTGGCACAAGTGGGGAGGACTTCCCCACTGTGCCAGGCCTGCCCTCAGGCACATGAAGTAGATACAGGGACACTGGTGGAAAAAAGGCCTTTGGTCGCGGTTCGCAACTGCCATTAGTCGCGGTTGCGCAACCGCGACCAAATAAGCGCGACTAAAGCCCCCCACCTTTAGTCGCGGCTGCTTAAGAACCGCGACTAACGGCCCGTCCACGTGGCCGCCAGGCGGCCGTCGGGGCGGAGGACCTTTAGTCGCGGTTCTTCTGGCCAACCGCGACTAAAGGCCGCCACAGGTTTAGGGTCTTCTGGCCGCCACAGGCCGTTTTTGTTAATTATCAAATTTTACCGTTTTTTTTGTCAATTAACTAGTTAAAAAATTCTCTCCCTCTC